CCAAACTTCAATCCGAGGCCTACCCGCAGAAGCATCGTCCTCTGTCCGTGTGTGCCACCATAGTTTTGCATCACCAGATAGATACATGCTTGTAATGGTCACCTTCTCGCCATCGGGGATCCGAGCAGCCTTGAAGTACTGCTCCATGTCCCATAGGAAATTCTCCAACTCTTTGGCATTTCGGGTACCACTGAAAGACTTGGGATCCGGCACCTTGATTTTCTGCGAAAGAGGATCACCACCGCCTCTGGAACTCCCATGAATGGCGCTCTTCACCAAGTACACTTCATCTTCAAGGTCTTTCAGGTTCTTCTTGAAGACGTCAGTCAGCGACTCAACATCTTCAGAGATACGGGTCAATTGCTCTTTGGTGGCCTGCATGAAGTTACCAAACCCATCAGGATCAGTCTTCAAGATCTCCACTTCAGAAGCCAAGTTTTCAATTCGAACAATAAGGCTCTCTGCACCATCTTGTACCTCTGTTTCTGTAGGAAAACCCACGAACTCTTCCAAACGGGAAACTCTCTCACAAGTATTACCTCCAGCCATCGTAGAACGGGGCTCTGATACCAATTGTTACAGGGCTAAATTACACCACAAATTTTTGCCTCTGTAATGGCACTTAGGGCCACCAAGTCTCAGCCAACACAACAACACAATACACACAGTATAGAAATGTAAAGAAGGCACACACAGTTTACAGGGACAAGCCCCAACCTTTGCTCATATTAAACATATTACAAAGGAACACGAGTTCGTACAAGGAACAACCAAGGCTCACACCCTCCTCTCTGTTCCCTCTACAAAGCCCACCTTAACATTATATAGGCCACTCTCAAAACCGCCCATAACTGCCCACTAAGATGATGGATGACACCCCCATCCACCTAGGGTCGTGCTGGCACCCTCTAAATGTGCCAGCACTATAATGCAGTTGACAAGCCCAACTGCTAGACTTGGTGGCATGTTCTGCTCATGCCACATAACCACAAGAAGTTACATTCTGCATAGTGGAAGAAACCACCCTTAACCGCCTGTGTGTTGGTCCTCTCAGAATTGTGCCACATGCTTGGGAGGTTACTTAGCACTCCCCCACTTCCCATGATGAGTTGGAAGTGCTAGTAACTTCCCCCAACCGACCGAGCCCACTAAGCCACTACCTCTTGTAACCGCAAGCCATGACTTTGTGTTGTCTATGCTCTAGCCACATCTGAGTCAACCTTGTGACCCTAGCCCAAGCCAAGTCCACCAATCTGCACCCACATATATATGTCTCTGAGTGCATGGCGTGCCAAGCCATGCACGCCCATGCGCATGCTTGGGTGCACGCCAAAGTGCACGCCGGCGCACACACTAGTGCCCTTCTACGCGCGCCATGTTTGAACCCTCATGCGCCCGTGGCTGTACGTCCGCCTGGACGCCCATGAGCACGCCGAGCTAGACGCTCGCTCACACTAGGTTGGACGCCTGCCCGCGCGCCCACCTGCACGCTCGCACTCGCGCCGCTGCACACCAGCGCGCGTGTCGGTGCCTATTTGTTTGCCCTTCAATATCTTGGATGCTCCCTACTTGTGCAACCATCTTGGAGTGGTGTAACACGTGCCCATGCACGTTGGCTAAGCCCTCTAAGCAAGCTATGCAATAGCCCAACCGATGTGCTCAACAGACCCCCCTAGTATAGTCCTAAAGAAATCCAGCACTCTGACAGGAGTAAACATCACTCATGTTTGAGGAGTCATAATGGCCTTTCAGGCCTTTCCCGACATCCAAATTGAGTGCCGTCTGCGCCAACCAACTTCTATGGACTCAAGGTACCTCCCATAAAAATCCCGAGTCAAAACTCCAAGTTTCATTTTTCACCATATTTACGAAAGTGCCACTGGGCACCCCCAGTGCACGCCGAGCATCCTTTTAAGCATTCTGTGTGCACGCTGAGCATCTTGTGCACGCTAACAACCCACTGAGCATCCTCATGGCTGTCTAACCAAAGCCAAAGTATTCCCAAGACATGGCATGGCCTTGAAATGCCCATGTCTTCCCTTGAAATGCCCATGCTCACGCTGACACCGAATTAAGGACTGGGTCTGGTTCTGATACCAACTGTAACGGGTGGGCGCTTACCCATTTACCCAAAAGTTTGAACTATTGAGTAGTGCTGCATACCCACCCATTTATACACACTTCAACCCCCATCCAAATCCAATGTGGGACAAGTTTCACTTGTAACATTCTCCCCCACCCAAACCCACGCAACGCACTCGTTGCAGTCGGACCACCCTGCCTACCCGGAGGCAGACCTGGACGCCTTCCAGGCCGAGCGCTTGGCGTGACACCGAATTAAGGACTGGGTCTGGCTCTGATACCAACTGTAACGGGTGGGCGCTTGCCCATTTACCCAAAAGCTCAAACTATTGGGTAGTGCTGCATACTCACCCATTTATACACACTTCAACCCCCATCCAAATCCGATGTGGGACAAGTTTCACTTGTAACACTTGCCCACTAAGGTAAGACCCAGCCTAAGGATATGAGCAAAAGACAGCTGGAATAGTACAATTGCCTTTACAGCCTGCCATTTTTGGATTATTCACCAGGAAAGCTACACTTGGCAGTGGATCCAAAAATGTAGGGATTAGGGCAATATGACACAAAAAGGGAATGACCCTAACCCATTCTCAACATGGAGGCCCAACAACGTACCACCTGGATGACCTAGGGCTATAAAAAGAAGGTGATGACGAAAAAAGGAGGTAGGAACTGACGGCAGCTTCTTCCCTACCATTGTTCCAATTCTCTGACTGGACTGGTTTTCTCTCCCTTCTTCCACCTTTCTGCATTTCTCACATTGCTTAGTGATATATTCCCAGACCTCTTTTCTTTGACTATTCAACCGACGAGAATCAGGTATCTACAGTAATCATATTTTTTTTCTATTGTCTTTCTTAGCTTTAAAAGGAAGTGCCAATTTGTTCGGAACTAATTAGCAACTTCTTTATGTTCTTTAACATATCTACTACTAAAATGCCATTTTAAGTAATTAGATGGCCTTTAAATCACCTAACATGGATATTTGACATGCCCCTTAGCCTAACCAGGGTAAATAAAATAAAATTATCAATTTCAGTAATGCTTAAAAACGAAAAAGAAAAACTTTTGCACCATTTTGCCAAGGAAGTGAGAGAAGATCTGGGAGGACTTAGCAACACATCCAATCACTTTAATGCTTGGCAATGTTAGAATGCAATGTTAATGCTTATTATTAAGAAAAATATTGTATAATATTAATATAACAGAGTAATATTTTTTCATCTCTTTAAACCGTGATCAAATGACACACTTTGGATCCACTGGGGACAAAAGTGGTAATGTAAGTTACCTCCAACAAGCCGGGCCTGCTTTCGGTTTGGACCCTTAAGGAACGAAAAAAACTTTATTTTACGGTGCAACGGACACATTCAATCATTTATTATCACGTATATTACATAGATAGTTCAGATGTGCCCATTACACCGTGTAATGGACGCAAAATTTTTTTGTTGAGGTGAGGACCCCCAAGTTTGGGTCCAAACCCATCAAAACACACATGCCCACCCCGCCTAGTTGGGTCGGACTTAGGCTTAGGTTCTCGTCCTGTGTGCATTTAAACTCAAATCGGTGGCAGTTGGGTCGTTACATCCGTATGGGATGTGGCCGTACCAGTGCACCCAATAGTTTTTTGGGGCGAACGGGTGTCTAATGACGGTTTGGCTCAACCCAAACGAACAACCAGCCGGCTTTATTTGCAATCTGTACTTTCAGAATCTGAATTTTCTTCTTTCTTCTCTCTATATACTATGGTCTACTAAATCCTTGAGTCCATATACTAAATCCAAGTTAAAGGTTCGGATTGAGTATGAATCGTTTCGAGTCCTATTCTAAGGTTCATTTTGAGTCTTGAGTCGGATCAGAGGTATAACAAAGTGGTGGTTATGAGAAGAAGGATGAATCCTGCTAACCCCTCTTTTTACCCTTGATTCATCATGAAGATAACAAGCACAATCCAAGTCCATTGAAAGATATAATTATACAAAATGATAACAAGCACAATCCAAGTCCATTGAAAGATATAATTATACAAAATTTGCAGGCCTAGCGTGGTATATACTTTATACCCAGGTGCAACAACCCTTCCGTCTCAAATTAATCACTAATTATGTTTGGTTGATTAAGAATATATATATATATATATATATGATAGTGATTAGGTTTGGAAAAAGAAAAAAATGTCTCATATTCTCTCGTCATACACAACACACCCCAACACACCCTCCACTCCTCCAGTGTAATGTATTGTTATTAATTGTCTATCTATGATGATTGGGTGCTCTCAAGTACAACTTGGAACACTTTTTTTGTAGAATTATTTGAAAGAATATTTCGAACCTTGGCATCTGATAAGGTTACTCGGACATCCCATGAACCAAAAGCATGGCTGCATGACCCTTCCTCTTGTACGCATTTTATGTGTCCTTTTTCAAATTCCCATGTAGGCCATGTTTGATAATTACGTCATATTCCATTTATTGTTCAAGGCCAAAGAAAAACAATACACAACTCAGTAAAAAATAAAATTCCTAACTACTTAAGAGTGGCCACTCTTCATGCTTAGGTTTTTGTATTTTCCTTCGTTTCTCTAGCATTAATCTCAATATGAATCATCTAATTATTTTTTAATTAGCACATTTAATTATATTCTCATAAAATATTATTACACTCGTAGTCAGGTCGTTATACCTACCATCCTCTTTCAGCATGCATAATTGAAAACTTGTAAAAATAAAATATTGTGTGTTACATTATTTTTAATGAGTAAATAGTAGAATAGTAGAATGACAGGATGATACATTATTCTAAAGTGATACACATCTGATAGCATTTACATACACAATAGATAATAGTAGAATAATAGGTAATATCATCGTTACGTTATCAATTATAGTTACTTGATCTTGACTTAATTTTCAGACCACTAATCATTTTCCTAACCACATCCAAACAACAACACTAAATTAACATTGTATAAGAGAGGATTCATATCCTTCATCCTAGCTCATTCTATACTTAAAAAGTCGAAGCCGAAGAATTGCACAAGACACAGCAATCTTGCATTATATGACCAATGACGCTTCCTTCTTCAACCTTAAGCTCCCTGCTCTGTCTATTCCAAAGGTGCACCGCAAAGCTTTGGCCGCGGATTTGCGTCAGCTTAGCATTCAACCATTTGGAATGAGCCTCATCATTCGCCGTCCCGCCAACGAACAGAGTTCGAATTACAGTCCAACCAACCGGATAAAACGCGGTGGGAGGCAACACATTGAAGTCACATCCAGGCCTTGTTTTCACCCTGGACACAACCCTTGAAACCAAGTAAGGCCCATTGTGACCCCACAAGTTGCCATTGAAAGTGAGTGCAAATTCTTCAATGAACATGTAAACAAGTGGATGACCTTGGTCAAATATCATCACAGCATTGTTCAATCTGCTCCAATTCCCGGTTTCAACATCCACAGTCTGTGCTCCTATTGAATTTCTCAATGGGGCAAAGCTCTTCAAAATTATAACATCGGTGTCTATGTATACACCTCCAAATTTATAGAGCAGAGCAAGCCTGAGCAGATTGGAGAGGTTTTGACCCAATGAGACCCACCCGGGATTGACATCCCCTTTCTTTAACCGATCAAACCAAGATTCAGCCACCGTGTTTTTCAGCAAGTAATCGAAATCTGGCGAAATTGATGTCACTCGAAAACCTTTATCCGAAAATGGCCTTAGAAGTTGTAGTCCGCCTCTGGAATCCATTGAATCTGATACTATGATTAAACAGCCATTTGGGTGTGACTTGAACAGACTCTCTATTGTAAACAATTCTCTTTCACCAAATGACTCTAACGAAGAAATCCAAGTCATGAAAAACTTAACATTGCACGAAGAATTCGATAACTTTTCATCGAAAAACTCCTTCACTCTTGCCGAAAACTGCTCTGTCCTAGCTTTCGAGCCCAGAAACTTGAACACGGTTGGTCTCTGTTTTTGCCTCTGTTTCGGCTTATGAATCGAAGAACCGTTCTTGAAAAGCACCCAAGTTCGTGAATTCTTCAAAAGGGACAAACGGGTTGTGGGAATAGAAGGTTGGTTTTCAACTTTCGGTGCGTACATCAAAGAAGAAGAGAACTTTGTGACATCTAAACAGAATAAAGAGACGCCATTGTAAGCTAAGAGGAGAAGCAGAAGAAGAGACAGAATAGCAAAGAGAGATTTCTTACTCCTCTGGGGGTGGTGAAGAGATAGAAAGTGATGAAACTTTGATGGGTAGGTGTTAGCGTAAATGTTTTTGGTGTCCATTGTCGTAATTGGTGTCATGTTGGTTTTTTGGGTGGGCTCATGCTTGAGAAGCTCTGTTTCTAACTTTCTCTCTCTTGGAAGAAAGAGAGAAGAAAGAGAGTGAGAGTTGCAGAGATGGTTGAAGAGCAATTTTAACGTGAATGAACGCGCAATCGGGGTGTGTTTTGGACTTTGGCCCACCAAAAATATATGGTAATACGAAAACGGAGTTTGAGAGAAGAAAATTGTGGAGCGGACAAAGTAATTGATTGATGAAGCTGGGCTTGGCTCTGCAGGGCTCATTTTCCAATTCTAGCCCAACAATTTTGTTGTACAGACTAAATAATGGGTCGGTTGTGTTTTGCTTTTAGGTTCTGTTGGTTTGGATATAAAATATATATTTTATTTTTTTAGTATTTAATTATCACAAAATACTTATGAAAAGTAAAATAAAATTTTTAAAAAATGATTTATTCACCTATTTTTGATAAATATTTTATACAAAATATCAAAATAAAAAATAATAATAATAAAAAAAATTTAATCCAAACAAACAAGATTAATGTGTAGTCTTAAATTTTGTCCTTGCATAATTCACATATTTAGTCGATCCAAAACTATGCCATATCATTAATTTCTCGATCACAAATTTGAATAAGACCTCACACTCTCGTGCATGTAAGTGGGGGATCCAAGGATGAGGAGTATAATAATCGCATAATGACATAATCTGAGGAGTATGCTAGCTTTTCTGGTTAATGGGTAACAACCAGAATCTGAATTGAAGAGCAATTACCTACAGAATTATATATGTGGGTGTTAGAAGAAACTTTTACTATTCAAATATGACTGTTTTATTTTTTATATTGTTTCTCTAAATTCTAATACTTTTTAAATCCTACATTGGTGAAAAATATAGTTTATAATATTATTATTAATAATAGATTATACAAGCTGCTCATGATTACCGTGCCCAGTTGATGGACTCGTGACCGAGCGGGGCATTAAGACTGGGATCCAGCACTCCGTGAAGAATGTTGATGCACTTAAAACCAGCCCACTATGGGCTGCGTAGCCCAATACTACTCAAAAACATGTGCAGCTCTTGGGTCCTTAAACGGAAGGGCCCCGCAATCGTGGGGCGAAATCACTCACCATTGGTTGGCAGAGATGACAGGGCCCATTACCCAGGGCGCTAACCCAGTCCACACACGACAACTTTTTGTTTTTTTTGTTTTTTTTTTTTTTTTAATGCCGAATTTTAGTTATCCAATATAATCTTAGAAACTTCATAGAATAATAATATAGCTCTTATGCTACGTTCAGTTATATTGAATTAGTGCTTTAAATTGAAAATTAAAAATAAAATTAATTTAGAGTTATAATAATACATTGCCTTGAAATTGAAATTTAACAAAAAAATAGTTTAGAGTTGCAAAAATATAATGATATTCCCTATCCTAATTGCTGAGCCTAGTACAGTAGCTGGCCTTTTGGGGAGCGGAGAAGTAAACCCTCTCTATCATTCACTTTAAAACGAGAGGTGATATAGGCCCCACATGTTTTTTAATGCCAAATGTTAAATGGCTATCCATAATTAGTACCGTTTATGCTAGTTCAGTAGTAAAAAAAAAAGTTTGGAGTAATAATAATACAATGATGTTACCTATCCTAATTTTTTTTTTTTTAGAAATTTAAGCAACTAATATAAATGAGAAAGATATACAAGGTGGGCCTTACGCCAAAAACAAGCCCAAAAGGGCAGCAAACAAGCCCAAAGAGGGACAGCCCAAAAACCAAATAAGGTAAAAACCCAAACAATAAAACTGCCATTAACGGTAGATTAGCCGTTAATGGAACCAATCCGGTAGTTCAGCGCAGTGATCTGGCACCATTGCAGGCAAGAATCAATCTGGTGGCCTCGAGGGTGGACGACATGAATTGGACGAGAGATCCTAGTCACAAAGAATCCTGGTAGAGGCATGGCTTTCCTTCAAGCAACCCAATTTTAGAATGGAAGTGATGGAGGAGCAAATGAGGGTGAGTACAGATCTTTGTGAAGCTTTCTTCCCTCTAAAAATTCTATCATTGCGCTCTTCCCACGTGTGGTACACAATTGAGGAGAAACATACTTTGCGAAGAAAATTGATAGCAGATTTGACCTTCCATTGGATACTGATACATTGGATTAGGTTATCCCAATTTGTAATTGGAGTGTAGAATCGAGCTTTTTGTTTGATGAATCTCCACAATGGGGAAACAAAATAGCAATTGAAGAATAAATGTTCATGAGATTCTAGATGAGTATGGCAGAGCACACAAATGTTCTCATGTTGAGCCATTGATTTGCTATCCAAAGTGGGGAGCTTAGACTAAACTGCAAGCCAAAGATTAAACTTCATGCGAGGGATAACTGGAGTTTCCCAAACCAAGTTATGCCAAAAAACTGGAGATTGTTGTTCCATTAAGTAAGCTAATGTGAACTTGAGGCTGTATGTCCCTGAGGGAGAGGCTGTCCATACCAATTTGTCATTTGTTGTTGGATTTGGTGGAGACAAATTGAGGAGCTCTGGGAAGGACCAAGCTGAGTTAATTATGAAGCTGTCAACTTTGATATCAATGTTGAGACCCCCATCTGTGAGAATGTGACTTGGAAACCTAGTGCATAAAGGACCTCTAGGTGCCCAATTGTCCCACCAGAATAGTGTGCTACTTCTATTACCAATTTTGTGTTTCATTAGTTGTCTTGCATGGAATCTCAATTGAAGGATCTTCCTCCAGCTCCATGAGCATGGTTGTGGAATTTTGAGAGTCCAAAAATTTCTTAATTTGATAAGATGAGCTTTGCACCACCTAATCCAAAGCCTGTTGTTCTCATTATTGTGCAAATCCCAAATGAACCTTAGAACCCCAGCTTTGTTTGAGATTTCGAAGTTAGGAATACCCAAACCACCCACTTCCTTTGGCCTGCATACCTTTCCCCAATTAACCTTAGCTCTTGTGGTTTTCATCTCAGGTCCTGACCAAAGAAAAGGACCTTAGGATTTTGTTCAGCTCATTAAGAACAGCTTTTGGAAGGATGAAGATGTTGGACCAGTATATTTGGGTTGAAATAAGGATTGCTTTGATGAGCTGTAACTTGCCTGCATAGGATAAAGATCTAGAAGACCAATGGGTTATTCTATGTGATTTTCTCAATCAAGATGCTGCAATGAGAGGCCTTAAGATTGGTGGGGATTAATGGTACTCCAAGATACTTTACGGGGAGGGCCCAACACTAATACCAAGTAGGTTTGTGATGCAGTGCTCTATGTGTTGGTCAATTCCAGAAAGGAAAACATTGCTTTTAGATAAATTTACTTCAAGTCTAGACATTGAGCAGAAGTGATTCAGAGCACACTTTAAGACTGAAACAGATGTGATGTCTCCATGGCATAAGAGTAAGAGATCATCAGCATAAGAGAGGTGAGTAATTTTCATTCCCCACACCTCCAATGGTACTTGAAAGCCTTAGCTCTACCAACAAAGTTGCTAATAATTAATGACAAAACATCCATTACAATAACAAAAAGAAATGGAGAGATAGGATCACCTTGTCTCAGCCCCATTTTCCCCTTGAAAAATCCTTGAAATTCCCCATTCAGTGCTATGGTGAATGAAGGTGATGAAAAACAAGCCTGAACCAATGAAATGAATTTTAGAGGGAAGTTGAGTAGAGTAATGCATGAGGTGATGAAGTCCCATTTTACAGAATCAAAGGCCTTCTTCAAGTCAATTTTGATTGCACACTTTGCTGTAGTGGAGTCTTTGTGATACCCCCTTAGTAACTAATGAGCTAGAGGAATGGGGATGATTGAGATGAGTGGATGATGTAAGGGAGGGAAGATTGCAGCTTTGATGCTAGAATCTTAGCAATGCATTTATAGACTGAGTTGCAGCAAGATATTGGCCTACAATCAGGAATGGATAATGGGTTTTGGCATTTAAGAACAAGGGAAATGTAGGTGTTGTTAGCTTCTGAGAGTAGTTTCCCATTCTTGAAAAACTCTGAGATGGCATTTCTGACTGATCTACCGACTATCCCCCATGCTTTTTGAAAGAAAAAAGCATTAAAGCCATCTGGCCCTGGAGCTTTGTCTCTGTTGAGTCTGAACATACATCTTTGTATTTCCACATTTGAAGGGATTTCATCTAGGTAGTTGTGCAGGTGTGATGGGACTTATTTGGTGAAGAAGGGTTGCAGATCAGTTAATGAATGAGTAACAAGTGGTGGACTTCCAAGCAACCTTTGAAAATGGGATACCACTTCATGTTTGATTAGCTCCATATCCTCAATTACTTGACCATCTTCTATGGTGAGGGAAGTAATCTTCTTCTTGTTGTTCCTGGAGGAAAATGATTTATGAAAAAAAGCTAAATTGTAGTCACCCAATCTCAACTAGGCCATTATTGATTTCTGTTTGAGTATATCTTCTTGAATGCTGCCCAACCTGATATACTCCTTGGTGATTATTTTTCCCACCTGTCTTGGGTTAGTGTCTAATGGTGAGAGATCAAGATCCATTTGGATAGAATCCAGTTCCAATTTCACAGTTTGCAATTTGGAGTCAATATCAGAAAATTCTTTTTTGTAGTTAACCTTTAAGGATTTTTTCAAGAGTTTGAGCTTCTGAACAACTTGATACATTGCAATACCCTTGATGTAAGTGCACCAAGCTTCATGCACAGAGGGTAGAAACTGAGGAGGAGTATTCCAGGCATTAAAAAATCTGAAGGGGATACATCTATTTGGCATGTTGAAGTATACATTGACTAGTATTGGGTTGTGATCTGAAATCCCAAGAGCTAGAAAGATACAATTTAATTGAGGGAAGGATAGGGACCACTTGTGATTAATCAGTGTTCTATCTAACTTCTTGGCAATACAAGCTGCACCTTCACTCTTGTTATTCCAGGAGTAGAGAATGCCACTGAATTTGAGGTCTTCAAGCTCAGCCTGCTGTAAGCACTCCTTGAAGTTA